TTTGTTACCACTGTTTCTTTATACATTTACACTGAGCCATTTATTATGAAGATTATCCTTCAATATTTATTGCTGAGGCATGCTATAAGGCTGTGAAAATAAATAATAAATAATTTTAAAATTCTATTCAATTTTTTCTTGAAATAAATATGGTTTCTTACAGTAGTTAATTAATAATTTATTTAACATCCATAACTGTTATACAGGCACAATTGGATGAGTCATTTGAAAATAAACAAACAATACAATCCATTTTTTTATCAGTATTCCCTAGCTATATATGGCTTACCAACCATGGATGACAACTCCCAGGAATTCAGTATAAAACAAAAAATATATATAAACCGCTAAAAACACAGGTCAGCCATGTAAAAAAGCGTCACACATTTAGTGAAATCTTATCGAAACTAACTTGAACTACCAAAATACCATCCATCATTTTTACTAAAAAGAACTCTTGTAGAGAATAAAACAGTTTTTTATAAATAATTTTTTAATTTTAAAAACCATAATATTTTCTATTCTTTTTAATCTGAAGGGTAAGTAGGTATGTATTTTTATTCCCATGTCAATTACATTTTTTTTACAATAAGCAATGTTGCATAACAGACATACAAATACTTGTTCCCTTTTGTGTTATGAATATTGGAATAGTGAGTCATATAGTTCTTATTCTTTTTTATGAAGCACAAGATCTCAAATATATATAATGAAATTACAGTTAAACTCTTAAAATCACCAAACAAATTTCTACAAGAGACCCCATTTTTAACTCCTTTAATAAGTCTTAGATCTTTTTTCTGTGTTTTGAATACTGCATTACTGTTATTTAACCCCCCCCCCAAAGAAACTAATATAATACCATATCTTAATGTAGATTCAAATTTCATAAAATAAACATTTCTGAATACAGGTATACTTACTGAGTTGCATAAGGATTTAATCAAATAAAGAGCTTTGTTTAATTTTTGACAAAATTGTTATATATGAGTGGTCAAGCTGAAGTTTTCTGTGATATAAATACCTAAAAAATTTTAAATGTGATAAATAAGTTATTTCTTTGTTGTTTAAATATAGAATGGGTCTATGAATTAAATTAGATCCTCTTCCCTGAAATAGTATTGCTTTGGTCTTTTCTGTATTTATTAAAAGATTATTTGTCAAGAACCAATATTCTAATTGTATCATAACTTTCACAATTTTCCCCTTTTAAAGATGTGAGATTTTTCTCAATGAGTAATATATTTGTGTCATCCGCGAATAACATCACCTTAGCTTCTTGAACAGTTTGGGGCAAATCATTTATAAACAGCAAGAAAGAAAGGGGCCCCAAAACAAGACCCTGAGGTGCACCATGTTTTTATTTCTTTACATAACAAAGTATATGTCTTTATATTTCAGGTCTTTTCATCTACTTGCTGTATTTATACAAAGTGAGTTCTCCCAGTAAGATATGAATTCATCCATGTGTGTATTTTTTCTCTAAGATCATACAGCTCAAATTCAGCAAGCAGTAGTTTATGATTTATTACATCAAAGGCCTTAGTTAAATCTAAAACTATGCCCATAACTAATAGTTTATTATCTAACACTTTCTGGATATCTTCTATAAATGTTTATGTTGTGTTTCTTCTCTCTGAAGCCACTTTGAGCCTCAGATATCATGTTGTGTTTGTTTAGGAAGGTCACTACTGTTTTATATATTAATATTTCAAGAATTAAAAAAAAGACTGGCGAAATTGAAATTGGTCTATATTTGTGAATTTATTGTTTTCCTCCTGCTTTGTGAATAGGCTGAACTTTTGCAGTCTTCATCAAATTTTGGAAGATTCCAGAAAATAATGAAATGTTAAATACAAATGTTAGTGGTTATGAATAAACTGAATATTTTCTTTTACTAGCTTTTCCGGTATGTCATCATAGCCTGCTTAAAATGTACCTTTCAGTTTCCTGGTTACAATTAACACCTCATCTTCAGTAATTGTGGGAAACATGGAATTTGAATTCAATATTTTATTATTAATAATATCATTACCAAATTTACAATTCTTATTTTGATTTAATGTCCTATCCACATTTTCTATGAAAAAAAAACAATAAATTGATGAGATATGTACTATGGATTTGTAATTATCATGGAGCCTATTTTTAAAGAAATATTTTTAATTGTTTTTTGATAATTCTCTGATTCCTTTTTATTATTTGCCCTAATGTCTTGGTATGATTTATTGACCTTCAAATAATCCTGTTATTTTCTCTTTTCTGTGCTTCCGATATCACTTTCTTATAGGTAATTTGATATTTCTTTATATAGTTCAATGTTTTACTGACAAAAGGCAACTTCTTCTTTAACAAACATAACAACCGCAGCCTCTGTCCTGAGTTATTACCTCTATTTTTTTATATTTTCTTTTTTTTGGGGGGGGGGGAAAGATATTTACAAAATACCTGAGAAACTTAGTTAAGAAGAAACTGTATGCTCTATTTACATCTGTTTTTAAGCACATCTTCCCATATTTCATTTTTTAACTGATTGTTAAATATTTCATTTAGAGAAGACTCTTCTTACAGTTTTCCCTGAATGAACAAAGGGACATTTAACAGCTGTGTTCATGACCTGAGCAAAATGGCCCAAATACCTCAGTTGTCAACACAGATGCTGTGCCAAAATTTATGTATAGCTTGAATTGTCAGCAAGTTTCAGTAGTTATACTCATGGCTTCAGTTTGTTTTTGTTTTGATGCATTTCATTTCATTTGAATTCATTTCAATTGCACATGTTCATTACATTACTCATTAGTTGTCAGAGATTACTATTTATAGCTTATTCTTATGCATCGTAGTCCACATGATTATTTTGTGAGAGTGGTCTTCATACAGTCTCAATATGTTTTCCCAGTTAGCAAGAACAGGAAGTTGGTTGCTTATATGCTCAGACTTAAACTGCACATCAAACTTTAGGAACAGGTTCCAGGTGCAAATTTCTCATTAAGAAATCTGAAGAATAGTTTCCTTTTGGCAGCACCCAGCAGTTTCAAGGCCTTGATATTGATTGCACCCATGTCACAGTTAGTGGCAATGGCGTTCATTCCAGCATTCTGACAGGCATCAAGTACTTCATTCAAGTCCTGCAGTCACCTCTGCCTTAGTGCTTCCATGACTAAAGCTGTAAGTGACTGGTTGCATCCACTTTTTATGTATGCCACAGATCATGAAAACTAGAGCATCATTTGCAATGTTATGCGTCCTGCCCCGATTTCCACAATCCTTAAAACCTTCAACGCAGTCAAACTTCTCACTGAAATGTGTATTCTCTTTAATCGACATTTCACCAAACATGAGACAACAATAGTGGTCTGTGCCAGAAATTATCTGCAGAGTGTGCTGGAGTGCATGAAACACATGAGCATTGATGTCTGTCTTAAATGGAACAGTATTCAGAATCGACTGCAAGGATCATCTGGATGGGAGGGGAATCAGTGTCTGGAGAAGAATATAAGATTTGGGGCTATGTTCGAGGAGAAACAGAGCCAACACTGTGTCTTCAGAATTCTACATACTCCCCTTAGACTTCTGCCAACTGTTCCTAAAAATCCTGGCAGTCTTGAAACTCAAAGAAGATGAAAAATTCTCCATGACTAGATCACTGCCCACATCACAGAGCTTTTTCATCTTCTTTCCCTTGTATTTCTCTTTGAGTTTACAAAGCGCATTTTCTTTATTCCAAACATCTTCACACAATTTCCTTTTTCTGGGGTTCAATTCTGAAAGGGAAGACAAATTAATTTCTTTCAGCAGAGAATGCCTTACTCTAGGCTTGGAAGAAGAACTCTGACACGTAATCTGCTAGAGTTCACCATCAGAAGCATTTATATTTACAGAACTTACGGGGAAAGAGGTTTCTTTCACTGCAAAGGTGTTGGCTGCTGTTGGTGATGGCTGGACTGCAGACATCTCAAAGGAAGTGGAAGGACTGTCTGCATTAATAGGAATAGGTGTTACAGCAGAGTGCACCAGTGTTTTACTGTAAGTTCTAGTGGAATGTAGGTCACTGAATATCATTTTTGGGAGTTATAACTGAAGGAAGGGATATGTGACGGAGGGACAGGAGATTATGGGAGTGACTGTAAAACAGAATCTAAGCCCCACGGAACTGCACTCTGTTGAGATGTACGTGAAATCACGTTTCAAGGAATGTCTACTGCATAAATATTTATTGGCAACATTGTAGCAGACTTAATAGTGCAGGATATCCCAACTTTTCCTGCTGGATCCATGGGAAAGCTGAAGAATTTTAATTCTGCCTACTGGATGAAAAGCACCCAGAGGCAGCGCATACTTGTCTTTGTTAAATTTTGTACTGCAAAAAGCGATACAAAAATTTTAGGATAATAATGGTACAGTTAGAGTATCTTGACATTCTATAGTCCTTTGTGTTAAATAGAAAGCTGTAGATGTCATAACACAATTATGAGGACGTACTTCCATTCAGTTATTGCAAAGATAACTGAACAGAATACTCACGTAATCTAAATAAGATTTGAATAATTTGAATGAAATATCATAATGACAAAGACTTTTGGCTTGACAAAATGTTATACATTTTTAATTTCATTCATTGTAGTAGGCATAAGATGCATATACACAAATAACACGTCTAACATGGAGATGTAGGCTAGGGCGTAAACGTCGACTCCCGTTTCACAACGAAATTTAATCAAAATGAATACTTACCAATCAGTAGGGAATAAGCAATAACCTATAGATTGGCATTCACTATTGCACAACTGATCACGGCCGACCATAACTGCCGCCAATGGATCATGAACTCAAATTATTTGTCAGGGATTTGTTCATACAGATATCATAGATTGTGATTGGTGCAGATGTGCGACCAGTTTTGTAGAGATGGAAATACACAGCAAAAGCAGTTTGCGCAGGTGACCATTGCGCATGTTTAGAGCATTTTGCTGAGCGGGCTGAGGGGCTGTGAGCGCTGTGAGCGTTGAATCGGCTGTAGTCGTTGAAGGTATTGTGGAGATGTCGAATGTTGTTTGTGATTTTAACCGAGCAAGCTGGAATAGTAACCAGCGTACTGCGTTAACAGTGTTCGGGCCAGGGTCGGGTGAAGGGAGCTAACTTCTAGCCATGATACATGGGTTCGATCCTGACTGCACAAACTTTTGTTTTAAATACCGGTAAGTGGACATGAAAATAAGTTATGGTTAGTGCATGTGTAAGCTGGAAGGGAGTGAGAACGTGTATTACTGAAGGTAGCCATCTTGCCATGTTGGTGCGTGACTGAAGGCAGGTTTGAGTATTGAATGTAGAATAATAGAATAATAATACTGTAATTAACTGGTAGCGTAGTTGAAGAGCCATTGCTTCGTCATTCGGAACCTAATTCCTGACTCTCGCAATCTTCCTAATATTAAATTTATTTTTTCCAATTAATTATTACGGAGATACTGGAGATTAAAAAAATATCGTGGCGAAGGGCTGCCATTACCGTTTCTGTACGTGCAAGTTTGTTGGAGACAGTAATCGTAATACAGGCCCAAGCAACCGAAGCGTACTGAATTTTAGATCAGACCAAAGCAAAATTGGGCGTCAGTAGATTCAACATGGTGAAGAAGGAAAATATGATGGGCTGAATTAACCCAACTGATTTAATTGCATGTGAAAGAAGTAGATCAGCATGACGATAAATGGATCTGAGCCCGTCTTGAGAAACCACTAGTCACTCAGCCACTCAGGAATTTCCCAACATTTTGTAGAATTGGGAAGGCTAATTAACGTGTCCACATGAGCACTCCACTGGCCACTATCCTGAGCCAGCTGAATCCAGTTAATACCACCTCATCCCAAGTTAGATCCATCGTAATCTCCCACATACATCTAGTTCTTCCTAGTTATCTTTCCTTCTGCCTTTCCCACCAAGTCCTATGTGTATTTCTGTTCGCCCCATTCATGCTACATACCCTGCACATCCCATCCTCTTTGACTTTTTTTATTTTTTTATTTCGCTTAGTAGGGGGGGGGGGTGGATTCCAACTGGGTCCACTTGGCACGGCGGCCACAGATTGGTCTATTGTAGCCTGCCCCGGGTGATTATGATGATGGAGAATTTGGAAGAATGAAGTTTGGCAGGGGAAACCGAAGTACTCGGAGAAAACCCGCACCAGCGCCACTTTGACCACCACAAATCCCACTTGACCAGACCGCGGGATCGAACCCGGGCCCCCGCAGTGGGAAGCCAGCGACTAACCGCATGATTTATGGCGTGGCCTAATTGTCCATGACGTGCTCATTCTAATTATGCTTGGTGAAGAGGACAAGTTATGAAGATCATCATTATGCAGTTTTTTTTCCACCCTATCACTTCATCCCTCCTTGGGCCACATATACTTAGCACCCTGTTCTCAAGCACCTTCAGTCTGTGTTCCTTCCTTAATGTCAGGGACAAAGTTTCACACACATAAGAACCACAGGCAGCATTATAGGTTTTTATATTTTCAAATTTCTGTACAGCAGACGAGAAGACAAAAGCTTCTTCATTGAATGATAGCAAGCATTACCTGAATTCTGTCTCCTCTTAATATCCTTCTGAATTGAAATTTGATTTGCTACTGTCATTCTCAAATATTTTAAATTTGCCAGATTTTCAAAGAATTTGATTCTGTGAAGTGTCGTGACCCAAGATGGTGGCGGGTCAACTGAATTATGTTGGCCGAGCGGTAGCGTAATAATTCAGTGATGGTGATGGTCAGTTGGCTGCTGGAGTGGGTATTCCAACCACAAAGAGCAAATACTCACTACAGATAATAGAGGATTTATTGATTCTTAGTGTATATTACATACAAGCGCTGGTGGACGTAAGCCTGGCCAGCCTTCCCATAGCCCCAACCCAGACAAAATGCCCCCTTCAACTTCCCTCTTCTTCTTAAAACCTATCTAAAACTAAACTTGCAGCCCAATGTCCCGAGACATGAACCCTCACGCAGATCAGATTACACCAGCTGTTGGTGAAGGATAGGTCCCAGACGAAAACACTCCAGGACTCCACTAATTTATGGAATGGCAGGGGTAGATTAACATTTTTTCTCTGAGGAAGCAGGTCAACTTCTTGACGTGCTGTAAATTTAGTAGAGGGCATGGCCCCAGACATCAGACTCAAGTTCCTAAAATTAAAAAATATAAAAAGGGTTGCGAACCCCGCAACAGAAGAACTAGAATATGTATTTGATAAATTCCCAAAGCACTCCATGGAAATTTTGTTAGATTTCAATGTCAGAGTAGGGAGGGAAGACATTTTCAAACCAGTGTTTGGGAATGCGAGTTTGCATGAAATTAGTAATGATAATGGAGTTATCAGTAGTAATCCGAAAACCTGACTGTTGAATGTTCATACTTACTCATGGAGCGGAGCCCTGCTGGAGGAGCCACCAATTCTGCAGCTACTCAAGAATTTCCCAGCATTTTATGGAACCCAGAGGTTCATTACCGTGTTCACAAGAGCCCTCCACTGGTCCCTATCCTGAGCCAGATAAATCCAATCCATAATATCCCATCCTATTTCTCTAAGATCCATTTTAATATTGTCCACCCATCTACGCCACATCATAACATTCATAAATTTAGACATCTAACTGAAAGACTCGCAATCAAATTGACCATATTTTGATAGATAGGAGACAGCACTCAAGTATACTTTATGTCCGATCATTCAGGGCAGCAGATTGTGGTACTGACCACTACCTGGTGGTGGCAAGGGCAAGGGAAAGACTGGCAGTGAGCAAACAAACAATGCATAGAGGTCATATGGAGAGGTTCAGTCTCAAGAAATTGAATGAGGCAGAGGGTAAAGAGCAGTATTGTGTTGAAATCTCAAATAAGTTTGCGGCTTACGGAAACTTAGACACTGAGGTGGATGTTAATAAAGCTTAGGAAACCATGAGAGAGAATATCAAAATTTCTGCCAAGGAGAGTGTAGGTTAATGTGAACTGAAAAAGCATAAGCCATGATTTGACAAAGGATGCTCAAAATTATTGGACCAAATAAAACAAGCCAGATTGCAGTGGTTACAGGATCCAAGAGAAATTAATGGGGACAATCTGAACAATATAAGACATGAAACCAGCAGGCATTTTAGGAATAAAAAGAGGGCATTCCAACACATTTTAATTAGCCTAACTAATTTCATGGATACCCAAACCCAGTCATAATATTGTACAAAATACCTACCTCCTAACTGAATCATATGCTTTCTTGAAATCTATGAATAGCTAACATACTGTGTCATTGTACTCCATTTTTTTTTCTCCAGCATCTGATGAATGTAAGAAATCTGATCAGTAGTTAATCTGTTACGTTGAAACCCACGCTGATGATACACAACAGTTTGGTCTCTATGGTTTTACCCTTGAGATGAAGATAATGGATACAATTTTGTATTAGGTTGATGACAGTGATATTCCTGAATAATTACTGCAGTCAGTTTTATTGCCCTTCTTGTGAATTGGTATGATAGTTTCATTCCCCTGAACAGGCAATTCTTCCTTAGTGGAAACAGAATTAACGAGTATGTGGATCTCGGACTGAAATGTTTCATCTCCTGTTTGATGGAGTTTTGTCAAAATTTGATAAGTTCTTGGTGATTTATACTTTCCTTTAACTTTGTAATAGCAATTTCAACCTCTGAAAGATTAGGCTCAGGTACTGAGAGGGCTCAGCTGTATGTGTTTACAATCTTATATACTTCTACTGTTCCATCCTCTGGCAAAATTGCAACACTTTTTCATTCTACACTTCGACACTACATGTTTCGGCCCCAAACAGCCATCTTCAGGTATTTTTATTGTGACGCATTGCGCTATGGAGGACATCCCCTCCCCCGCCAGCGGTGACGTGGCGGCATCGGAGCGCTGCATCTGCTCCGGTAACACGCAGTCAACACTTATCCCCCTCCCCCGCCAGCGGACTTAACAGCGCTAGTCAATTCTTCGCCCCCCTCCCGCCCGCGGTGACTTGTTGCTAGGCAAGCGGTAAACATGACGTCACGTAACAGGCGAGCCGTGCAACGATTGTTGCTAGGAAATCGGTAACCACAGCGGTACTAAACAGCGGTACCTATTACGTAACTGTTTTCTGTGTTGTCCTTACCCCCTCCCGCCCGCGGTGACTTGTTGCTAGGCAAGCGGTAAACATGACGTCACGTAACAGGCGAGCCGTGCAACGATTGTTGCTAGGAAATCGGTAACCACAGCGGTACTAAACAGCGGTACCTATTACGTAACTGTTTTCTGTGTTGTCCTTACCGAGGCTAAATAAGTAGCAGCGAACACTATTCAGGAGTCAGTCAGTAGTTAGCCAGAGAATGGTTAACTAGTAGTGTGTATTCTGGAGTTGAGTTGAGTCGAGTCAGTTGGATTATAGCAGCAGTCGCGGAAAGAAGAACTGGATGCGTGTGTGATTAGAAATGATAATGTGAGAAGCAGATGCTTGGCTCACAAGAGAAGTAATTGGGAGTGTGTAATTAAGTTGCACTTGTATAACTCCCGCGTTATAAATACGTGTAGACTGCTGAGGACAGAGTGAAGAGAGTAGTGCGTAAGGTTTGTAAATTGTGTAAACCCGTATCAGTGTTATAATTAATTGTAGCCAAGACTTGTAGGTTGTTAAATAAACCAATTAACAATCTGAACGGCGTCTTCGGTGGAAAAACACGTTACATATGTTACAGATATTTTACTAAAACTGTGTTAAAATCTGCTACACTGTTTTGATTCGTGTTAAAATCACACGCTGTAGGCTTCTTTTTAGTAATTAGAGATAAACTCCTTTAAAATTTCTATTGCATATTATTTCACCTCACACGTGGTGTCATTTTCGTAAATGTATCAAGGTGTTTTTCTCGGCAGCTTGCCCCTCACGTTCGTGGTCTACTTTCAGTTTTTGACTGCCATCTGTAATTTATAAATTCCTATATTAATGTTGTTTTCTATTTGTTATTATTANTCTCGTTTTACTTAAAAAGAAGGCTACAGCGTGTCATTTTAACACGAATCAAAACAGTGTAGCAGTTTTTAACACAGTTTTAGTAAAATATCTGTAACGTGAAAATACCTGAAGATGGCCGTTTGGGGCCGAAACATGTAGTGTTGAAGTGTAGAATGTAAAAGTGTTGAAGTTTTGATGGAGGATAGACAGTGGATGCTGATTTGAACAGTTGCAACGGGATGCTGAAATACAGAATCATCATTATATACACTCAGACCCATAATATAATTTGTTTGCAGATAAGAAAATTTCCAAGTCTGAATTAGTACTTAAGTCCGTTCGTTTTCCATGTGAAATTAGTGACTTTAATTTTACTGAAGTCAGGCATCATAAAATTTGCTGAACACTTTCCCTGTACACAATCAGTATTTGACTATAATAATTTAAACAATAAACTAATTTCATGGAGCTGAGCCCTTCTTGAGAAGTCGCCAGTTGTGCAGCTACTCAAGAATTTCTCAGCACTTTATGGAACCCAAAAGTTCATTACCGTGTTCACAAGAGCCCTGCACTGGTCCCTATCCTGAGCCAGATCAATCTAATCCATACCATCCCATCATATCTCTCTTTAAGTTCCATTTTAATATTGTCCACTCACCTACCTCTTAAGTCTTCTTAGTGTCTCTTTCCTTCTGACTTTCTCACCAATATCCTATATGCATTCTGTTTCACCCTTATTCGTGCTACATACACTGCCCTTCTCATCCTTGAGCATTCAAATTATAATTGGCAAAGAGTACAAGTTTGAAGCTCCTCATTGCTCATAACTAGGTGAATTAATAGCTCTGTGGACTTTTAAGGTCATCAATAAAAAGGAGGTAGTTGGAATGCCAGGTTGGGTCTGTGTTTAATGTCAAGAACTGTTTCAGAAACATCGCACAAGTTTAATGCATAATTTCAAAATAGAGCATGTATTATTAAAAAAAAAGTCAACAGATATGGTCCTAAGACCACGAACGTTTTGATAAAATATATCTAAGCATTTTCCACTGCCAAGGAGAGAGGCAGGCATAACCTTCTGGATTCACACACTTGCTCACTGTATGGCAAGAATTGTGTCTCAAATGACAGGCATGTTTGAGTGAGGAGTGCACCTTATCGTGTGTGATTTTACCATAAAAATGATCAGTTAGGTGCTCTGTCCTGCAGACACCAGTGTTGTATGTGGTAATTCATTTACAGTGTCAGAAACGTGAAAGAATGTATAAGTGTTGCATATTTTAAGTCGGGTGTAGACTATTGTATTTAGGTTTAATTGCTCCTTTAGAGGCTTTTCAACATTATCAGCACTAACCTCAAGGCTAAATTGGGAAACACAGAGAGCCTTACCCTTTTTGTTTTGAAATAATTAGCATAAAAGGAGACTAACGTGCACCAATAAGGGGTTAGTGATAAGGTTTGGGGTATTTATTGCCAAGGCACCAATAGTTGTTTATTTTTTTGTTTATTTAACAGTTGTGAAAGTGTTCGAGTCTACTTGCATAGCAGAAGCCCTAAGTGAAGGAACAGTTCATGTGCAGTGTTCAAAGTAAATCCTCGATCAGCAGATCCCTTAGCTGGTGAATTTGTGAATGAAGACATGGAATTAGCAGCTTCAGCATAACTCCTGGTGGATTTCTGATGAGGGGCCACTTCAGTTGTGTCAGCAGTTCCTGTGGACCAGTTCTGCAAGACCATGTTGCCTGAGGCTGGCCTAATTTCAAAGGACAGCGATCATCTGTTTACTGTAATGTATTAATTTGATATTTAAGTAACGTATTGTCACTTAAGATGAGTGAGCCTCATTAACTTAATGAAATATGCACAGTTGAGATTTTATGGGGTCTGTGTAGATCCCATTAAGACAGTCTTCAAGTGGATGCAGAGCACCTCATATTTATCACTGTTTAATACCGTAGTAGAAACTAATGCACTATCATGTGAGATGAGTCTTTGGGAGAACCAGTGAAGAATATGTTTTCACTGGCATCTCATTCCTTTGGGAGCATGAAGTCTTCCCAAAGGCAGCACACTTGTATGTGGAAATCCCGGCATCGGTGTAGAATGCATAGTCATTCTCAACTGGAGACAACTCAGATGGCCCACAGCACCTAAGAAATTTCTGTTTATCGTAGAACTCCTTGAAACAATGAATGGTGATATATGCCATGGCCAGTGGTAGGAAGAAGGTTAGTCAGAGTATATAAATAATTATTGTCACATGTTAGTGACTATACAACAAGTTTGGATTGGAAATGAATTTATTTGGCACTGATTCCTGTATCTGCAAGTGATTGTACAATAGTTTATAAGAATTCATAATTGTTCACTATCTTTTGGACTGTTTTTGCTTGTATCCTTGGTACTGTGTCGTCATGGTCTCATCACTGGGATGCAGGCTCATCTCATATCGCCTTGTTGTGGATCAGGTAGTCAAAGCTGGGCTTACGAGTAGTAAAATATTTCTGTTATGGAGGGGTCTACTGCTTGTGATGTGTCTTGCTGTGACGTTTCCTAGTAATTGATGCCTCTTTGATATTCCTGTGAAGATTCTGAATTTTGGTCATGGTATCACTATATTAATGAAGAAAATCAGTAGATGGTAGAATAGCATAGCTTAATCGGCAGATACAAAATTTATAACTGGGAGGAAGAGTTATCCAGTATAGGGGAATGGAAAGTCAAATCCATGAATGAAGTTTTTCTGTAAGTTGAGATGTATGCACAGATCAGTAACTGGTCTAATGACGATAAAGTCAATATATTACAGGCTAAGCTGTGTGGTGATGCTTTACAGCTTGTGGGATGACAAGAAGACTTTAGTGACCTATGAGACATTTTAAAAATAACAAAACTAGCAGGAAGGTTTAGTGGGAAGCTACCCGCTCGGTACCGAGGCAGATGTATGACTGGCAAGTGGAGGGTTTGGAAGAGGTACCTAGAAAAAACAGTTCAGTAATGTTTCAGCTGCATGAATGTAAAGGGGATACACACAGTGACTCATTGCTATACAGGAAGCTATAATTGGTAAACTACATGGCTCTTAAGTGCCTCACAATTTTACGCCATGTGCAAATCGTGGACCGGTGTGCACCTTGGTGCCAGTGGTGAGGAGAACCTTATTTTACAGGTGCTGGAATATCTTCAGATGGGTGTCTGCCCAAAATGTCCAGACAGGACTAACATAAGACATTATGGATCATAAGAACTTTGTGGAGGGTCAGTCTAATGTTAGCCCTCAATCGCTATCTTCTGAATAGGGAATATACTCCAGTGAATGTTCTGAAGGCCTTGGCTTCGATCATTTCTATCTGCAATCTCCATATAACTCTTATCAAATTATTCTTATTACTTATTGAAGTACACCGTCAGTAATGAAACAATAATTTTTAAATGCAAAAGACACCTAAAATATATTTTGCACTAAAAGTGTAACTTCAGTACTTCAAAATGTTATTAACCTTTAACGTCCGAAGTGCCCAGATCGCTCCAGTAATGAGTATTGTCATCGTGGCCAAAGTACCCCGATATAGGCAGTTGGGCATTTAAATGCTGCTAGTGGAAGCACGCGCGCGTGCACATCACTAGTAGAAGCGCATGCACAGGCCTAAATATTTATTTTTAAATGCAGTTACTACTCTAACCGCTCACTTTGTTGGGTCCTTACGTTGGTTGCCACTTTGTAACCGTCCTCCTTGCTCCTGCGTTGTGCTCCACTTATCACCGTCCTCCCTCTTCTCGTGGCTGTCGAGAAGTTAGGCGGGAAGAGAGGAGGATTGTGGTTGTTGGTGCTGGTAAGCGAGAGTTTGCTTCCTGTACTCCCTTAGGTGTCTCGCAAGTAAGGAAAGACAGTATCTGGGTTGTGCTCTTTAACTGGTATAGGTGAGTTCTTATCCCGGGGTCTTATTTGGGCCTGGCTAGGCAGGGCAGGAAGAACCTTACGCTACAGTCACATACACCACTTCCGACTTTTGCACTTAGTAATTATATAATTCGCTTCCATTCACTGAATATTACGGAAACTCTTAATGTTTACGCTTAGTAATATTTAACATGTAATACTTTCTTTTCTGAAGGAACGTAGTTGTAAATTTGAGACTGACTTTGCCGAAAGTTGGATGAAGGCTCCTTTAGGTGGAATGCACTCTCTCTGAAACCTGAGGTCCACGAACCACAGACGCCAAGAGAAGTCCACTCCTCCACTTTTGCCATTGGTTAAGTTTTCAAACTAGGAGTTTCCCTAAATTTGTGAATTTCCAATCATGTTGCTTTGCTGTGTGATTCTGGCAGATGCTAAGGATGACAGCTCCTTGATGCATTACGATCAGGGTATGAGGCTTCGGCCGTCCCACTTTTAAGTTATCGCAGTTCCGAGCTGTCAGCTCTCAAATTCTCAAAGACTTTTCGACTTTGCCGAAACTGCCAGAATTCCAGGAAAGTACCAGATGTTACTTCCTGTCCACATAGCAAAACTTGAACTATGTCCCTTCTGAGTGTAAGAGTTGGCTATCTGCCAGATCTCTTTGTTTGCATTTTTGTAATCATAACTTAATATAGATTTAATTAATACAAATAGCCCACCAATTAGAATGAATGGTTACACTGCCACTTGAGTAAAACCCTAATAGAGGAATTAAAATGATACCTAAGTGAACAACAAAAAGAAGTATGAGTATGAGTTACGCCCAAACTGATCCATGAGCTAGGACTTTTGTTGCAGATTCTGCAGATTAATGTGTTAAAATTATATAGTAAAATTTGATGTACATACCTTTTTTGTTATCTGCACCCTGCATAATCATGTATCTATTCTTGCCTTTGTGTGGTACTCCTTGAAGCACCCGAGAATGCAGAGATAGAAATTGATTTTTTTTTAATAAATCTGATGCATTGTAGAGTTGTATTTGCTTCTGCAATTCCTGGGTAGGAGGCAGAAATGAATGAAAGAATGCTTTTGAGGGTTCTTGCGGCATTGTTTGTATGGGAGACAGAGTAGAAGAAGTGGTAGTGATCTCCATGGCCGAATGTTGCAAATGAGGGGCAGGATTTTGTTGTGTGGGAGGGATGTTGGTGATGTTTGATTTATGGATGATGTACGTTTGTGTAGTTGATGTTGGATGAACTTGTTGAAGTTCTTCCTGAATTTCCATCACATTCAGAATTCTCTCGTGAGATATTATTCCTATCAAGGGTATGAATTTCCATGGTGCTGGTTGTGGCTGTTTTGTTTGGAGTTCTTTTCTTGTGTCTTTGGGATCTAGAAGGGCTGTTAGGAGGTTAGAAATTGTTTCTAGTTCCCCGTATTGTGTCTTATGTTTTTTCTTGATAGAACATTCTTTTTGGTTGAGCTTGTATTTGAAGAGATTTCAGGAATATTGTCTGTCTGATAGGACGACTCCTCGTGTTCATAAGAGATAGTAGATATTTGTGGTTGTTCAGTTGGCGTTGAAGTAGTTGGAAGTGCGATTCGTACTGAATCATTGGTCCCAGAGTTCTGTCCTAATTTTCCTTGACTACGTATGGCTCCTATGGCATAGCCACTAGCGTCTGTTGTTAGTATAAATGGCTTACTGCAGTCAAGGTATTGCAGCAAGGGAGTATTAGTTAATTTAAATTTTAACAGGTCAAAATGGGCTTGTTCTTGTTCTGTCCAATTCCAATCATTCTCTTTCTTAAGTAAATTCGTTAATGGTCTTGCAATGGTGGTAAAGTCTGCTATGAATTTATGAGAGTATTCTGCGAGACCCAAAAATGACTTAATATCATTTTGCGTGTTAGGTGTGGGAAATCCAACTACCGCTTTAATCTTGTTCTCATCTGGTCTTAACACCTTCTGGCATCACTATGTGACCTAAATAATTTAGCTATTCTTTCAGAAATTCACCTTTATCAGGTTCTATTTTGAGGTTGTATTCCCTTAATTTCTGAAACACTCTGCGTAATTTTGAATTGTGTTCTTATAAGTTTTCTCCAATGATCAATATGTCGTCCATATATACTAAACACCTGTCTCCTATCAAGATCTTTGGTGGTTAGTAACCACAAATTTAGTAAATTTCAAAGATCTTGCATGCAGGGATATGGGCACTTGTCTTGCACACAGGGGTCCCTGTGCATACACAAACTAACCACCGAGCGGTGCATCACATTACTATGATGGCAGACACTTAGGACTGTGGTTTTTATATGATAGCCGATTCCAACGCACCCTAGGGGTTCGGCTGTGCGTCGTTTTTTTTTGCGTGGTGTCCCCAGTGGAGGATGGCATGGTTGTGATGTTATCGCAGATTTGGAGTGGCGAGATACGATAGGGAAATGGGACCATCTTTGCTGATTGGGATGGCCTTGGCCTTAGGATAAGGAATGATGTATTTGTTGTATGATATCTCAGTGTCTAATGATGGCCTTATGTGCAGAGTGTAGGGCACGGAGAAATCCCATTGAGTTCTGTAGATAAATTTCATGTTGCCAGATTCGCTGAGAATGTGTGGGGAGTCTAATTGGATTAAGGGCATGTGTTGTGCCGCAGGGGGTCATGGCCTACTCTCCCCCTCGGGGCACCAGTAGGTATCTCTCTCCAACCCCGGGACTCACAAAGGGAAGGTAGTACAGGTTTCACATACATGCAGTTTCACAACAATACATCACTAAAGCAAAAATGTGTATATAGTATAAATGTGTTGATTACAACAAAAGCAAGTGAAAATGGGTGCCTTGTGGCTCCAGTTCTTGTAGCGTGTCCTATCCCCTTCCTCGTCCTTCTGTGCACAAGCAAAAGTAACAATATCTAAAGCGAAATAAGTCTAGTGATTACGTAGTTCAAATGAAGGTCCTGTATTCTGAAATACATCGAGCGATCCGGAGTGGTGATAGCCTCCGTCCTTCTTGTCTCAATCCACCTACAACATGTAGCTTACATTGTCCCTGCTGGCCTTCTCCTTAATTCTCTCTACTTCCAACTGATGCTCCCTAACTTAGCCTAACCTATTACAAAATAACAACTTCAAGACGGGTGACCTGTCACTTCTCTCTAGTGACCCGTCACTTCATCGGGTGACCAACCATTGGCAAGTACTCACGTGCCCCTTTTGTGGGTAACAACTATGATCCCATCTCTCGCGGTTCCTGGGTCAAAGATGCCCCTCGCGATTCCGCGTCGTCGTGCCCCTTGGGCTCGAAAAGCGTACTCTCTGGCGTCTGGCGACAATCGTCCAGTCTTAGCGCTCCCCGCCCCCTGGTCCCAGGGTTCTTATACCATCTGGATCCGTGGGCGTGCTTCCATCCTCATGGACGCATTGGGAATCGGCAATTCCCATTGGCTACTTTCTCTATGGTTCTTAAAACTTGCCTATATTTGGTCTTTCCTGACTGCCTCATACTTTGTCCCACATGATGGGAAGTGGCTGACTAACGGAAATGAATAATCATGAATAACAGGATACATGAGCCAGCTCGATTTCCGTAGTTCGTTTCATCATTCTAACTCACCCATAAATTCATATCTACTAAACCTTAATATTATAATTTAAACATCAAAATCAAGTTTCAAAATCCTGGGCACAACACATGGGTTGTGGTTGCCATTGTATATGCATAGAAGTATAATTGGCAGTAGAGGATGCGATAAGGTGGATATCGAAGGATTGATAGCCGGTTGTATGTTGCCTGGCAGGGAACATCTTATTGGAGTGGACCGAGGATTTGTCAATGTGAATTAATTCCCAGACGTGGGACCTGGGAAGGTTTTCGGGGGAGAATGTGAATGTTTTGGTGTGACCTGTTGCCAGCTCTTCAGTTGTTCAGAAGTTCATTCCAGCTTGAAGGTCGTTGGAGGTGTTTTTGTGTCCTGGGGGCATGAATTCATCGGGCCACAAGACCGTTGGGTTGTGGGTTTGGTTCACGTCTGTGAGGATCATTAAATTTTGGGAAGTTTCAAAGTCGATGGTTTCGTATGTGGTTGACCCTTATGTTAGTAGGCGTTTCCTGGTTGTTACCTGATTGTATATTGAGAGGGAGAAGTCGTGCCATGTGATACCATATGCCGCTTGAGATAGCAGGTTGAATGTTTTAAGCGTGTTGTTTTCTTGTTCGTCAATGCCAACCCAGAACTGAAGGAGATGGTATGGGATAACATATCCACAGACACCACCATCACAAAAAGAGATGTTATACCAGAGTGATCTTTTTATGTCACCATGAACATGTGTAGTTTTTATGGGTATTGGTATAGTTGATATTGTTGGAGACATATGTTTACCATAGCCATCTTGCTCGACGTTATGTGTGGTTTGTC